GTAAGACTATGAATTCGATAAAAGGCAAAAAAAACAGACAACATTCTGAATTTGAGAGACGAGTCTAGGAAATCGAGAAAAGCATATGTCATGACTGTTGGACGGACTTAAGAGGAGAAAGAGAGAGCAACTGAGAGAGCAAGCAGAAAGGACGAGTGAACAAGAGGAAGAAGCTGCTAGACCTATCACGATAGGCATAGCAGGAAAATTGCATGCACACAATAAACAATAGTGCATACACAAACACGAGTCAATATCAGAAGTTCGCAGACAAGTTTATTTATTTGTGCAAGGAAGCAGTTGTCACGGCATCCACTTCCGGTTCATGAGTTGACTCCACTCATCTACAAACATGTGAAGCAAATTAGAGATGTCAAACCAAATCGGGCAATGCCTCATTAAAAAAAGGCATGGTTGAATGTAGAAAAAAAGTGACAATGGTTGAGGCCGGCAACCTTTTCGCTTGATTCTGTACATATTTTTTGGTCAATTTCACAAATTATGCATTCTTGCGTTGACGATGGCGGTCACGGAGGGACAGACGAAAGCGTAGCACAAGTTCATCCGGTCGTGGAACAGCGAGCCAAGGACTTTTTCACACAATCCAACAGCCTGTTGCCATCCTCTCAGCGGTCGGGCGAGGGTGTACGCACCGATCGGGTCCGATAGGACACTCGACGGAGGCGCCGGATCGGATGAGAATTTGCGATAACGCGACGATCGGTGGATCGGCTCGGGGTCAACTGTGGCTCGGCGTCGTGTCAGACTCTGATTTTTGCACGCTTTTCTGTCGCCAGGCGGCGGATTTCACCGGATTTGTCATCACTTCAGACGAGATTTGAACAGACGCCACGGCCCAAGACTAGCTGCCAAGAGGTTGCAGGGTCGAGGAACCTTTCGCCCTCACTCGAAATGGCAAACTGTCCGATTGTTTGGGCAAAACGGGCCGGTCAATTTGTCCGTAGGACGGTTGAAATAGGTCTCGTGTTGTCGGTTTACATGAAAAAAG